TAAATGTCGATAATCGAAGTTTCAATGTCGTATTCGACGATATTGTTCGTTGATGTTATCGTTGGTAGCTCTGTTGTATCGGATATCGACTCTACCCTCGTGACTTCTTCCGTAAATGTCGATGTTTGAGTTTCATAACCAACAGTAATTAATGTAATGGCTTCATGTTGTGTATTAGTAGCGTAATCAGTTTCAATTCTGGTTGTACCTGGTGTTGTTGTAGTATTATATTCATAAATGTCGATAATTGAAGTTTCAATGTCGAATTCGACGATATTGTTCGTTGATGTTATCGTTGGTAGCTTTGTTGTATCGGATATCGACTCTACCCTGGTGACTTCTTCCGTAAATGTCGATGTTTGAGTTTCATAACCAACAGTAATTAATGTACTGGCTTCATGTTGTGTATTAGTAGCGTAATCAGTTTCAATGCTGGTTGTACCTGGTTTTGTTGTAGTATTATATTCATAAATGTCGATAATTGAAGTTTCAATGTCGTATTGGACGATATTGTTCGTTGATGTTATCGTTGGTAGCTCTGTTGTATCGGATATCGACTCTACCCTCGTGACTTCTTCTGTAAATGTCGATGTTTGATGCTCATAACCAACATTAATTAATGTACTGGCTTCATGTTGTGCATTAGTAGCGTAATCAGTTTCAATTCTGGTTGTATCTTGTGTTGTTGTAGTATTATATTCATAAATGTCGATAATTGAAGTTTCAATGTCGTATTCAAAGATATTGTTCGTTGATGTTATCGTTGGTAGCTCTCTTGTATCGGAGATCGACTCTACCCTCGTGATTTCTTCCGTTATTAAAGCAGCCTCAATTCGGGTGGTGTCTGGTGATGCTGTAGTGTTACGTTCATTAATTATGGTGTTCGTTGTGAAAGTGAATCTCGGCTGTGTTGTAATAGCTGAATAAGTTGGTGAAACGTCTGCATCAGTTACTGTAGTGTAATCAGTTCCTGTGCCAGAATCTGTCGTGTTCATGGCATTCGTTATTGCCGAGGTTTTGATATTGTTCGTTAATGGTATCGTTGATAGCTCTGTTGCATTGGATATCGACTCTACCCTTGTGACTTCTTCCGTTATTAAAGCAGCCTCACTTCGGATGGTGTTTGGTGATGTTTTAGTGTTATGTTCATTAATTATGGTGTTCGTTGTGGAGGTGAATGTCGGCTGAGTTGTAGTAGCTGAATAAGTCGACGAAACGTCTGCATTGGTAGTGTAATCAGTTTCAATTCGGGTGGTGTCTGGTAATGTTGTAGTGTTATGTTCACTAATTATGGTGTTCGTTGTGGAGATGAATCTCGACTGAGTATTAATAGCTGAATAATTTGAAGAAACGTCTGCATCAGTAGTGTAATCAGTTTCAGTGTAGGTGTCCGTTGTGGAGGTGTATCTCGGCTGAGTAGCAATAGCTGAATGAGTTGATGAAACGTCTGCATTGGTAGTGTAATCAATTTCAATTGTGGTGGTGTCTGGTAATGTTGTAGTGTTATGTTCACTAATTATGGTGTTCGTTGTGGAGATGAATCTCGACTGAGTATTAATATCTGAATAAGTTGAAGAAACGTCTGCATCAGTAGTGTAATCAGTTTCACTGTAGGTGTCCGTTGTGGAGGTGAATCTCGGCTGAGTAGCAATAGCTGAATACGTTGATGAAATGTCTGCATTGGTAGTGTAATCAGTTTCAATTCGGGTGGTGTCTGGTGATGTTGTAGTGTTATGTTTATTAATTATGGTGTTCATTGTGGAGATAAATCTCGGCTGTGTAGTAATAGCTGAATAAGTTGATGAAACGTCTGCATCAGTAGTGTAATCAGTTCCTGTGCCAGAATCTTTCGTGTTCGTATCATTCGTTAATGCTGGGGTTTTGATATTGTGTGTTGATGGTATCGTTGGTAGCTCTGTTGTACCGAATATTAACTCTACTATCGTGGGTTCTTCCTTATTACTTGTCACCCCAGTAATAGATGTTGTTACTACTTCATCTGATGTTATTTTGTTATTTTTTTTTATAGTTTGTTTAAATGTCGTTATATCTGTGAAAAAGAGTATTTTTCCTGTTGTCGTCACATTTTCTGTTATGGTAGTTACAAATGAAACGTCTGCATTTGTAGTGTAATCAGTTTCAATTCTGGTGGTGTCTGGTGATGTTGTATTGTTATGGTCATAAATTATGGTGTTCGATTTGGAGATGAATCTTGGCTGAGTAGTACTAGCTGAATTAGTCGATGAAACATCTGCATTAGTAGCGTAATCAGTTTCAATTCTGGCTGTGCCTGTTTGTTCAGTAGATGCTAAATCTGAAAGATAACAGGAATACCCTTGTGATTATAGAATAATAGGAAATCGCTTAAGAAAGTAATGGTTGTATCTGTCATTTTGAGCATGAACGAACAAGGCGTTCATGACTAAATCGTTTGGAAGATGACGGGGTGGCGCCAGGGTTTGCCCAAGGGGGAGGGAGACGAGGTCCTCTCATCGGGGTCGATGTCCCCGATGAGAGCAAAGTGGGCGTGGTTCGGGTGTCGCTCAGCATCTTTGGAAACTCTGTCGAAGGGCGAAGCCCCGAAAAATATGAAAATTTATGGGTTTCCAATGCTTATATAATCGATTAATATGTAAAAAAATATATATAACTGTTTTTTCTCCCCGACGAATTGCGATTTTGTTCTCCCCAAAAGGGTGAGGGGAAGCTTTTTCCAAATGGGTGAGCTCCCATGACAGGGCCCTGCCCCTCCAGATTTTAGGGAGTGAATTGACTTTGACAAATTTATATTAACAACTGAATGCTATTCAATATGTTGGCATCTACAAATTTGAATGACGAATTAATTTTATATTTTTGATTAAAGTAATTTTAGGGAAATAACTACACAAATTAGTAACACGAGTCAAGTGGGTATGTCTCTAACTTATAACAATTTCGGTTCGATTGTTCTCGTGGTGCAAGGCCAAGGATGCACTAAACATAAGCAAAATAAAGTGTATTTGACGGTTCTTTTACAATAACTAATTTTTTGTATAGCTATTGTGTTTTTATGATGAAACTCGTTGGGATTTCTCTCCGTAATCAGACTAATTGTGTTTTCTAAAATCTGTGATTACCTCACTGGTGATAGTGTTGTTTTCATAGTAGTAGCCATAAAACTGCATTCGTGCACGATTCCATCATAGCAGCAGGTCAGAGTTCAACTACATTGGTAATGCTCTAAACATTATAGCGACATTCCTTAGCCTAATACATGTTCCCCATGCTGAGATATATATTAATATACTACGTACATGTAGAACTTGTTTGGTTTTAATTAACAATAAGATTAATAGTGTTTAAAATGAGTGACGAAAATATTCTTGCACCTAGACGAAAACAGAGGATTTGTACCACATGTGTACGACCTTTATAATTCTAATGATGTAAAGGCATTTATCTAAAGCTAAAAACAAACTTATTATTTTATTGTGATAATTTTAGTACAGTAATTACAAATTTGGAAAAGGGATAACTAAAATAAACTAAAATCCGAATGCTTATCGTAGTAATACAGTAAGATCACAGGCACGTTAAGATCATACAGGCACGTTAAGACCTTCTTAGTCGTAAGCCCTACATTCTAATTGGATAGATAGTATCCTAATACAATGAAGGAATAAGTTGAAAACTTGGCAATACTACATTACATACAACTTACATAAAGGCAAAAACAGGCAAATGATAATTGATTTCAGAATACAACCAGTTGGTTGCCGTGATATCTCCGATGTTCGCATCGTCCTGCTCGGATGTTCACAACATTAGCAGGCAACTAAAGTGAGGTATGTTTGCTCTTATATAAGTAGTACTGCCAACTGATTACGCTAGATGCTGGTCGTAGACTTCACGTCCGGCATCTGCGCACATAGAACTTTATAAACAAACAAATAAAATATTGAGTAGTCTAGAGTTAGTCCAGTAGGACTTGGACGTCTTAAATGACACAGTTCTTGATTTCACTTCGTTAAGGTGTAAGGTGGAGAAAATTGTTAGGTAACAAATTTTCATGATATCCGTAACCATGGTAACAGCCATAATCCGAAATGGCTGCCCATACATCAAAAATAGCAAAAATTATGCACTTTTCCTCTTGGATTTGCAGTTTTGTCCCTAATCCACGTTTTATGGCTCGGGAAATCAATTGATACCCCCACCTTAAGTGCAATGTGATGAGTAATGCATAGTTTCAAAAATGGCGCCCATGCCTTAAAATATCTATAAATCATATACTTCTTCTTGGAGTCAGGGGTGGCGACAGCCGGCGGGCCACAGCTTGTGCTGGACCCTCGTCGGGGAGAACAAAAAATTGTATGTATTTTCTACATACTAGTAGACTATAAAATCGATTAAATTAATAAGTATTTGAAACCCCTAAATTGTTAAAATTTTCGAGGGCTTCGCCCCCTGGACCACTTTCGAAACCTTTTAATCGAGGTTCGACCACGCCCACATTGCTTTCGTCGGGGAAATCTGACCCCTCGTCGAGGGCATCGGCCCCCTCATAGAGGATTGCTGTCTCTTATACACATCTAGATGTGTATAAGAGACAGCATATAACCATACACTAGATAATCCCACTTCTGCAACGTTTCAAATTTATATACTTTATATAATAATAAGTTATATAATAACTAAAGATAAAATACAATGATAATTGCTCCTCGCGTGATCAAAACAATGAGGAATAATTGCTTTATGTGGATTCGATTTGCCAACAAAGCCACAGTCGTCAATTTGGTTAAGGTGTAGTTGGGTTCGAATTCAATATGTTGGCTTACTTCAATCCTCTGGTTACTGAAGAGGCTTATGTGGGATTGATTATGTTCTTTATGAACGACTATTATTACATAATCATTACGTTGAAAATGTATTTTTGGTGTATATTTTACAAAAATAATTCACAACTAAATAAAGTCAAACTATAAGTCGATTGTGATATTTTATCGTTTTTGTTTAATTCTAGTAAAAAGTATTCCTAATGCCAAAGGGAACATATAAATACTAACAATATTACATAGTCCTAGTAAAATTTTATTGGATAAAGGCTGGCTTCACGTTACTGGATTGCCTTAAATTACACAAATCAATCGTGATGTTGGTAGTCTATGAGTGAGATACTTACCTGGATAACCTTCCCTCCCTTCCTACCATCTCCGCGATCTTTTCTATATCTAGGGAATGAGGACGATTGTTATAGAGACGGGTTCGTACGTGGTGCCCTGGGTCGGACTGTTCCATTTTATTTCGAAGGGGTGTTCCCGTTTTGGGTTCACGCCACGTAGGGGAAATCTGACCCCTCGTCGGGGGCATCGGCCCCCTCATAGAGGACCTCGCCCCCCCCCCCCCGTCGGGCAAATCCTGGCGCCACCCCTATTTGGAGTCGCTGTCCATGGCCCATATATATGTATGTATATGTATATCCCTAATAATCGTCCTCATTCCCTAGAGATAGAAAAGATCACAGAGAGGGTAGGAAGGGAGGGAAGGTTATCCATGTAAGTAAGTATCTCACTCACAGACTATCAACATCACGATTGATTTGTGTAGTCTATTTCGTGAATACTTACCTGGATAAACCGACTAATTGCCAGATTAGCAACGTAAATCCATAATAACGGATATTTTCTAGCAACGGCACAACGCGGGTGACCACGGCATCAGTACATTATAATATTAATACTTTTTTTAAATAAAATTAATAATAATGCTAACAATTCATTAAAATTCTCCTTATTGCAATCATGTCAAAATATTGAATTTACAATTAAATATAATTTAAGATTCAAGTCATACCAAAAATACCTAAAACGAAAGTTCAGTATAATTATTCAAAATTCAATTAAAATAGGACCAGGTCAGAATAATATGCACATAGAATTCACAAAAAAAACCAAAAAAAAAAACGAAAAAAAAAAACGATAAAAATTCAAGTCAAACCAGATACACATAAAAGGCGAAATACAAGAAATTTACAATAAAAGACACAAAAAATAAAAACACGAACCAATAAATAAAATAGGAGACAAACAATAACAGAAACGTTGGTCCGAATATAAAACTAGTTGAAATTTAGTGTGATATTGAAATTATGAGATTTTTATAAGATGCAATTTAGCAAGTGAATTGATAAAAATGTTTATCATCAAATTCTTAAGATGGGCATTGACATCGTCTAATACGTGGAATAGCTAGAAATATCTGTAGAGTAGATGGATTAGGATATGAGTAAAGTACAGTACATTATGGTATATTATAATCATCGGCGAACAATACAGTAATTGAAATTGTTCATAAATAAAGGGTATAACAAAACAGCCAATTTGTAAGCCTTATTTTGCAGCCCAAATCATATTTTTGAAAATGCGACATAATAATTTTGTGATACACAGATTGAATTATGATCATATGGGCTCGAACCACTTCAAGGTACTTCCTCGAATGAAATAATCCTGGAGTTTAGGTAGAACAGTGTTACGGTCGTTGTATTCACAGGCTTGGAGTAGTCCAACGTACCGTATGAATAAAAAACTTTTTCTCTAAATCACCGTCATCATATTTTCCTATTGACTAAACCTAACAAAAATGATCTCAGTGTGTAATAATTGACAAATATTTCTAAAAATATCCTGGTTCATGCGTCATCGTTAAAACTGCTTACATTATATTTCTTGATTGGACTTTATACATCGCGTTATAATCATTTGCTGTATTTCACAAAAAGAAAACATCACTCATATGCATGGAATGCATTTTTCTACCAATTTGCATGCTCTAATTATTCGCCTGATTCATTCTGATGCTCATCATCAACTATGTCTTCAAATGCAGGATTTTCAACCGCATGAAGTGTAGTAGATTCACTGTGATTCTGCTCCTTCGAAATTGATATAACTGAGTCGTTTGCAGTTTTGCTATTTATTGTACTCTGTGTAACACTAACATTGTACGAGTACTTTGGTTTGTTGATACCCAGCCACTCTTTCCAAGCTTTTTTGCATTCTTTCTGTCTTAAACAGAACAGGTAGAAAATGGCGACGCCTTGAAACGAGTTAAAAACGCAGAAAAGAATGAGAAAAACAATGTCAGCATTGTTTTCAAAAGACAAAAATCCGAAGATCCAAGTGAGGCCTAGCAACAGAGAAATGGCGATGGCGTTTACCAAACGTTTCTTCTTCTCTTTCGGATTGAGTGGTCTCGTTGCCATTGAACTCGAAAAGAATAACTTTTTGATGACGAGAACGAACATGACAAAGTTGAAGAAGATGACAACTCCAATTGGGATAATGATAGCATAAATGAACACCTCCAGTTTAGTAGTACTGAGGTAACAACTGAAAAATATAAATGTTATATTTGTATAAACCTACAGCAACAAAAACCGCTATTATTAAGAATTTAAAAGCATTATATCATAGCAGACGCCAACTAAGTCTTATAATGAGGCTTATGATGCCATGTCATGGACTTGTATTGTTGTGGTCGTGAGACAAAGTTCTGGTGTTTAACAGGATTTCAGCCTAGAGCCCTGGAATTGCAACACAAACGAGGTTATTACAGACATGGGCGTCGATTGGTGAGGACAGGGGTACACGTCCCCCCACTTTTCAAATTGGGGGATATAATATCAATTGTCGTCCGGCCGGTCCCCTCCCCCACTTTTCACCAATCATCTATAATTAAAACCCCACTTTTCAAAGCGAGTGGAAATACCAACAACAATTATGAATGACTCATGAATTTCCTCTAAATTTTTCCAAATTATATATATAAAAAAAAGAACGTCTGAGAATGCCATTTCCGGCTATCTAGAGGTGCCAAAATGATACAATTTCTTAGTACCTGAGCCCCAAATTATTATCAAATTTAAGTCTGAGAATGCTATTTCTGGCCATCTAGAGGTGCCAAAATCATAAATGTTCTTACCTCAGCCCCAACCATGGTGGGACTGAGGTAGTGTACACCTTCTGTCTTTCAAAGTCGATTCCTGTCCCCTTCTATTTCGAACTCCTTGCTCGCCACTGGATACTTGGTTAGTAGATCTATCTATTTCGACTTATTTAAGTTATAGTGATACCACAAAAATTAACAAACTCCGATGTTGCGTTGACGCAATCTCACCATGACGTCATGAATATGATAAATAAAGTAAATTACCTTTATGTTTGTAAAATTAAAATGCTAACTAATGCTTTATGTGTAGTTCCGATCTCCCTAGTCCTGTTTGGTAGTATTTACAGTCACAATATGTAATTGCAATACTACTTCCATAAAAGTGCAATTACAAAATAAACACCTGCTGATTGATTTAAAAAGTATTGTCATGGAAAGAGACTAGATTAGAATGCCGGTTGGCCCACAGCCTCCCCAACTTTTTTCATTTTATAAATGGAGAAAAAAAGAATATCCAAATTTAAGTCAGAGAGTGCCATTTATGACTAGCTAGAGGTGCCATACACATAAATTTACTTACCTCAGCCCCAACCATGATGGGACTGAGCTGGTCTACACCCTCCATCTGTCGAAGTCCCTCCCTGGGCCCCCTCTCTTTCCAATTCCTGAATCCACTCTACTTCGAAAATGTAGTGTGAAAATAAATTAATTGCATTCCTTAAAATCAATTAAATCGACTCGGCTAGAACGTCCGAGTTTCTTTGGCCCCCATAGAGCCCTAGGCTGCTCCTGGCCCATAGGCTGCTCCTTATTACGCAAAGCGTCTCTCCCCTACTTTCAACCACGGATCGACGCTCTTCGTTACAGAGCAGGGGCGGATTTAGGGGGGGGGCCGGCCCGGCCCCGGCCCCCCTTTTGAGAGGTAAAACAAGAAAATAAAAAGAAAAAAAAAAAGAAAAAGAAAAAAATGATAGCCCACAACGCCTCAAATGTTATTTTCGGGCGTCTAGAACACAAACATTTCGCGGGGGCATGCCCCCGGACCCCCTGGGACATTGTTGTCTCGATCGGCCCAAATTTCGGCCCCCCTTTTGGACATCTCTGGATCCGCCCCTGCAGAGGTACTTACTATTTCTTGTTATCATAATATGATATATCGATTGACAGTAGAACAATTGGTGGTATGCACGGCAAACCTAGAAGAAGTAAAAAAAACATAGAACTATGTTAGTTTTGTCCATTTTTTATGATTTCGTCACCGTGACGCTGCAATATTACAAGAAGAGCAGCATGATGGAATAAAACAAATGACACATGATATCCAGTGTACATACTGGTTACTTTAACAATTTCATCAAAGACTTATAACTAAGTCATTTGATTTAAATAACTGTCTTAACCTACACATAGAAATGTAATATGGAATATAACATGGTGTACATAAAATGGTGATACGGTAATATGAAAAAAGTCAAATGTGTGTGAATGTTTAATCACTCAAAATACCCCTGTCACGATTAAGGCCTAAAATGTGAGTTTTGAATTTGATATTGAGTTTGAGCTCTGAGTGTCTTCTATGGTCGACAAATAGAAAATTGTTAGCTAGCAGAACACATCAGAAGTTGTCAATGGAGTGGCTAGGAGAGTTAAAGTGTTCGGCGACATGGAACTCCTTGCTCTTGTTACGGACGTACTGTTTGTGGTTAAGCCGAAGTCTAAATTTAGTTCCAGTTTCGCCTATATAAGAGCCATGATCACAGATATTGCACACGAGGAGATATATAACATTCGAAGAGTCCCATGTGAGGGGAGGGGGATTGATAGAAGAAGAGGTGTGTTTGAGTCCCCGTTTGAGCCTAACAACGCTGTCAGTGATGAGGTGCTTGCATACTTTACAGCATGGGTTGTTGCATTTAATATTACCATGGGAAGTCAGGTTAGGGAGTAAATTGGACGATGTGAGGATAGACTTGAGGTTAGGGGGTTGGCGGTTAGCAAGTAAGCTGTTTTGGAATACAGATTAGTTAAAAACTAATGGTATACGGTCAGAATCAGATTTGGGTTTGGGGTGTAAAAGTTCAGAGCGGGGGTGTGAGGCTGCCTAAAGGGTCTGAGATTTAATCATTTTAAAGGGATAGCCACTATTAAGAAATTGTTTGGTAAGGGAGCATACCTGGGCTTCGTATTCAGCTGGGTCAAAGCAAATGCGTTTAATACGGAGACACTGGCTATATATGATAGATTTCTTCAGGTTGCATTGTACACCAACATCCCGCATGATGAGGGCCTCCTTGCTTGCAAGAAGTTTCTTATGAAACATTCATTCTCTAACGAGCACATACAGGATATTATTTCTATTACATTCAACGGCCAACATTTTCTCCAAGTGAAAGGCACGGCTATGGGTACGAAAATGGCCCCTAACTACGCCAATATTTTCATGGCCAACTTGGAAGA